ATCATTTTATTCATTCCATTATCACTTCAATGCCCCCTAAATCGCTCGACTCTTTTTCAAGGTCAGACCTTGGTAAAACTCGGGAGATTCGTCGAGGCTTTGGAGGAGCTGCAGATGGCCGCTAAGATTACCGAGGAAGAGGGTGACACGCCGATGTTATCCTACATCCAGGATCTTATCGAGCAAGTGACCCGCGCTCTCCGCAAGATTCCATACGAGTACGGGACTACTTGGGGAGTGACCAGTGCCGGGATCAGTCACGAGCAACGGACCGAGGAGAATTCGAGTCTGTTCATCAGCAGCGAGGAGACCGTGATAACAACGGTGTTTTCGCAGAGGAGGGTGATCACCGAGTGTCTGGAGGAATCCAGCAACGAGGACGACGAGGAGGAGGAGTTAACGACGCATTCAGAGAAGATCGCACAGACTTACCGTGAAAGCACGGTACGCTCGGATCTCGGAGAACGGGAAGAGGAGCAAGACGTCCCTGCAGGCAGCTCTACGTTCAGAGTCGAAGACACGACTGAGAGCAAGAAAAAAGTTGTTTCTCCTTCCTCGTTCTCCTCCTCTTCCTCCTCTTCTTCTTCTTCTTCTTCTCTGTCGATATCGTTCGACGAGAAAAGTGAAAACGTTAAAGATTTGGGGGAGTCGACGAACAGGACCGAGAACGATATTCAGCACGAGGGGCTGAAGGGTGAAAGCAGCAGTAAAGCATCTTTGAGGAGCGATAACACGACGGCGACTTATGTCATTCAAAAGGAATCTACTTTAGAAGAGAAGAAACGTGCGACTGTTATTGACGAGAACGAGATGATCACTGAACTGAGAATGACAGTCGACGATAAGGAAGGGAATCGTAGAATAACCGAGGCTTTGAAGATGGTTAATTGCAACGATAGCGAACAGAGACAGGATATGATTAACGCTATTCGCGTTATCGAAGAGCTGGGGAAGAAGGACGAGGTGGAACTTTTGGATATGCTCAGAGACATGCTGTTAACTACCGAGGGGCGAGACTATCTGGGAAACTCCGGGGACGGGTTTAGAACCTCGAGATCCGGCGACGACAGGCAGAGTGGAATTACGACCAATCGGTTGACGAGAACCTCGTCTTTGCCACCGTCTCCAAGGCAATGTAATGTCAATGAGGATTTTCGTAAATGTCCCATGCCTTTGCCGTCCAATTAATAATCCTCTTTTGCTAGTCTATTAAAATATTCTCATCTATGTATATTTTTTTATCAGTGATTCACCTCTACTATTCTATACGTCTGCTATTTTATTTATTAAATATCTATTTAAATTTCAAGTACCAAT